GAGCTGGAATAAGTTCGAGCTTGACCGTTCATCACACATAACCGCTGGCAGCGCGTGACCTCTGCGCTTGGTTTGAACCTGCATATCCTCAATTGGTAAACCTTTACATGTCCTGGGATAACTGGGAGCTTCTGTTACGTGATCTTTATATTTCCTGAAATTCAACATAGTCTTTTCGCGACGATTACCTCGCCAACTTCTGCGATCTCAACACACGACTCGAGCAGTTGTTCGAATCACAGCCCCCCGATTTCAGAGTGAGCAGCACATAGTCTTTGTTAAAAATAGGTCAATAATTGTTTGCTATTACTGTGATTGAGCTGCAAATTGAAAAAACCTCGCCGATGTTGAAAAATACTTTTACAATTGAGCGACCCTTCCCCACGAGTACTGCTCGTGGCAGCACGATTTGAGGTTTCTGACATTATCTAATGTGCTCCAGGTCCTGAAATCCCGCGCAGTGAAAATGTGAATGGTTTCCTTACTTTGCTTCCGTTTAGTACTTACTTAAAGCGATTCGTTTTAATGTTTTCAGTATTTTAATTTTCAAACTCTATTATGGCGCCAGCAGTGAGTGTGTGCCTCAAGCGCGGACGTCACAACAGGACGTAGTGATAGGGTACATCTTTTCGAGATTCTGAGATCAGTTCTTCATTATGAGTTGGTCAACGATTTCATTCATACAGTCCAGCCATGTCCGCCGATGGAGGACTAAAGCTCGGCTTTGAAAATCTACGCATGGAGATTGATATGACCATTTTCATGACATCGATGAAGTTGAAGTTCTTCCTGTGCTGGACGTAGGAAAACGATTATGACACTGGATCTAATGACGAGGCGGATGATGTTGTTGACGATAGCGACGGTGATTAGTGGTCATCGTCTCAAGCCACGAATGGACGTTCGAGGAAACCGGCAGGTGGGTTTTCTTGGGAGCACTCTCTCGGCCAAAAAGGAACCGCAATTGCTTGTGCGCGGCGGTCTCCTTTTATCAAACATGCATATTTCAATCACTCCGTTTTGTTATATGTAGCTTCGTCAAGTTCCGAAATTAAGGTCGGGTTTAGAAGCGAAGACTACGATTTTTGCCAGACGTTCCAATGTAGTTCCCTGCATTCTAAATTAGCCTATTGTTTATTTCTAGTACATGAACCGAAATCACGTGTATTGCACTGTACCGAATCCCAGCACTTCTTGCATTCGATTAGTTTCCTCGCATCCGCATCCACGGAAGTCGTCGGACTTTATTTTTGACGTTACGATTTTTGTTGAATGCTAGTCACGTCGAGTCTCCCTGGAGCCCTGAAATAGCAGGGCTAGAGAGTTCCTACTTAAAATGAAGGGAGTGAACTTCTTTCAGACTATTCTGGTACCTATTTCTACACTACGTGTTCGATACACCTTATCTTCGACAATTTCCTATGGGTATGGTAAAAGTTCGATGGAAAGCTTGTAATTTCATAGCACAGCTCCGAAACAATTAAACAGAGCTCATGTGTAGGACAGGTTCACTCTTTCTTCGACGAGTGCTTATAGGGCTCCGTTGGTTTCAACAATGTCAAACGCTTTTTCGTGGTCATGTCATGACTTTGGGAAGGTGGTATTCCGACAAACTTCTATAACCCTGAGCACGGCTTGGATCCGTTCCATTGAATAAAATCGTTGTCGAAATTCAGCATGTTCAACTGGTTGTGCCTCATCCAATCTCCTTACATTCGCAAAATTATAACATTCGTGAAAAGCTTGTATATTTCACCCAACAAGCATGTCAGACGGTAGTTAGGATGTTTCCTTCCGTCACCATTCTTGCGCAGGATGACCGTGCCCGACGTCTTCCACAGGTCTAGGATTTTCTCCTTTTGAAAGTAAGATATTATGTGAGGTGCGACAAGTACATGTAAACCGTGTCTTCCAATTTTAAGGAATTCGGCGGTAATAATATCGGGTCCAGGAGGTGTGCTTGTCTTCATGGTTTTTTATCCCAACTCGAGATTCAGACCCTAGAATCATAGGCGGCTTCTCACCAACGAGGATTTCTGGGTTCGACACGGAAATTGTGAAAAGGGTAACATTGATATGTAACCTCTCCGTTATTAATTGCATATCATAGCGGGAGTTTTAGTAATCCCATCTTTGTTCATCAGAGTAGACAGCGGAACATTATACTTGCACATCTCCCGATGCTATTTCTCCTCATAGGACCAGCTCTGGCAGTTTCTCCTACCTGTACCGATATAGATCTTGTTGCGAACCTCTTCCACAACTAGCATTTATTATCAACTAAGTTAATCGTGTTGCAGTAGGACCAAGCTTCGGTATACTTCTTTGCGCGATCAATTCTTTTGTAGTGATGGGGATGAGAAGGGAATTTTATTGACAATATCCTCGTCACACACGACTTGTTTCGTTTTCCTTGAGCGATCACAGTTCATTTCCGGTTTATGCTGAAATAGGATCTTTGCAATGAGAAGGCACCATATCTAGTACGGAATGATGGGCCGACCGATGTGTCAAGTATCCCCCATCTTATGTTTGTCAGAATGTGGTCGATCTCTGCATGAGTCGTGCCATTAGGTGACTCGCATGTCTAGCGACGACTTTCTTCTGGGAAGATGAGTATCTATGGAAGAGGCATGCTGCGCTTAAGAGCTTTGCAAGATAGGATTCTATTCTCACTCCTTTCTCTGAGTCCAGTTTTCCGATTCTGTATTCGCTCTCGCCAGCCTTTCCAATTCTGATACTGAAGTCTCCAACAGAAAAATTGTAACATGGTTTATCACTGCACACAACTTCCTCAACTGGTAGTAAAACGCACCTAATTCGTACTCATTAGGTGCATTCAGTGAGTAGCATATAATGATACTGATTTTCTTACGATAGGTTGGTTGATGACGGAAGACGGTCATGCGAGGGGAAAGGATCTCGTATGTGTCGCCAGTGGGTGATAAAGCTTATGTAACGAACATTCTATGACGGGATCTTTTCTCCATAGATGACAAGAGTCCTGTAGCTCAACACGCGTATGACGATCTTCTTGCTCTTTGTTTCTTTTAAAGCGAATACATGGAATTTGATGCGATCTGCGGCTTCAAGAACGTGATTATCGACACTCGATTAGATTTCCGGTATTGTACGTTCAGAGTATGAGATAAAACCTATGTGTGGTGCAATGTATCTGTTTGTCTGATCTTGTTCCAATGACATCTTGCGCAACAAAAGATTTTGTGACGTCGTAGCGGTTGTCTGGCCGCATTGTAGATGGAAACAGCCACTGTGTGAGGTATTAAGACTGGCCAATTGTTGGCTGCGCAATTTCTCTTTTTGGAGACCTGCCTTGACCTTACAGGGGCGTTTTTTAAGTTTTCATCAAGACAGAGGTTTGAAGGAACTATCTTTTTGGCAGCGATCCCTTTTTCGGCCTTTCCAATAGTTGATCTGGATACGAGATAGAAGCCGAAATCAAAAATGAAAGGAGGAATAGAAAGATGACCGATCGCTCAAGGACGATGTAGAAGCCGAACTTGCTGTTATCTTTTGATGCCGCCAGATAAGATTTGATGTCTTCCTTCGTGGGTACCCTACGAATGTCTTGAACAGAGTTGGTTCCACCCACTTCTTTGGTTATTTTATATTGCAATTCTCATGTACACGTCATTTACCCTTCATCTTTGCCTGCCTTTATCACCTTCTGTTGCCTTTATCACTTGTATTCTTTATTTTTCATTTGCTTTTATCACCTTCCGTTTAAATCACATGCAAATCCTTTCTTCTACCGTATCATTCCAAGTCCTGCGTTGTTGACGGTTAGCATCGTACCGTCTTCATGTCCCATTTCTATTATCTGCTAATTATCTAATAATCTGTTGTTCATATTAATGCCATAAGGTTCAACACTGCACTTCACATCAAGTTTTACGAAACCTGTTGTTAAAACAAGTGGGAAAATATGAAGAAGTAGCCAAAGAAATCGGTTGTGTTTAATATACAACTATCCCTCCACTAACTAGTCATTGGTAATCAACATCATAACTAGTTCATTTGTTGAAAAGCATTGAGCTATTGCTGATCGATAGAGATAGCTGAGAGACAGGCGAAACGAAAGACCCGCATGGTGTGGTGGTGAACGCGTCAACCCCGGAAGGGGTAACAGCGCGTTCGATCCAGACTGTAGACACCTACGGTCCGGAGTTTTGCAAATCACTCAGCATCACTGTTGTTGTTTCACGCGCAGTGCTCTGCCATGAAAACCATAATAGCAATAAATAAAAATTTAACATTACGAGCAATAGTTACTCAAGTCATTGCTCCACTGAAGTGAAATGGATTCAGAGAATCGGAAACAGAAAAGCTTCACTTCGGTATTCTCGGCAAAGAAAAGCGGTGAAGACTCGATCGACACCTTCACGACTCGCTTTCTGCACTTAGGATAAATTTTCCCTTATTTATTTTTTATTTGATCCATCTCCACGTCTGCTGTGCGGATCCCAGCACTTCTCATATTCAATTCGTTTCCTCGCTTCCACTGTCCACGAAAATCTTCAAACTTTACGTGTGGCTTCGGTTGCTGCTTGAGGATTTTCATTTCACCTTGAATGTCGTAGAATGCTGGTCCAGCAATTGTTCCCGAGAGTCCTGAGATAGCCGGGCTGAAGTGTTTCCAAATGGATTGCAGAGAGTGATTTTTTCCCAGACAAGTCCGGTACCAATTTCCTGACCCCGGAGGGATCAGAGGCTTAGTTGACCCAGAGCGGAATCGAATTAGCACCATACTCGTGATGACTGACGAGCAACGCGACCACTGTGCTATCCACCTCTCTTAGAACAAATAATCAAGTAAAAAATAGAAACAATAATGGGAACATCAGTGTAGTATTTAACTGATAAGCTAATACGAGACTGATATAAAAATTTCTACTCGGCTGGCGTTTCGACGCCTTCGCCTCTATCATAGTCTCAATGATTCGAGTTGATTGTTCATAGCCGCTCATTCTTGTAGGCCATCATTTGTGAAAATAATCTTCAGTTAACACTGCTCTGTGAAGCGATTTTGATGAGGTACCTGATCAGGCAGTGGGATTTGACCAGCACAGTAACATGTATAGGAATGGTTATCATTTCAATATTGAAACTTATGAGAAAAGTGAAATGAATGCATGAATGTTTCCTTGCTAATCTCATGAGTTCAGTAGGAATTCTCCACTGAATGGTTGTAGTGTTATACACACATAAGTCTGGTTCGGAATCGGTTCACTTTCTGATGAAAACACCTTAACCGGAATTTAGCACCGCCCGAGACCAGAAGTAAATATCGTGGCAACGTAACCTTATGTTTGCGATTATATTATATTAACGAAGTTATGAACATTGAATAGACACTTTTTATCAGATTCATATGTGGCGATGTAGTAATAGGTGATGATAGTTGTACTGTCATGCTTGTTTGTTGGGGCTCGTACTTCGAGATTTCGCTTCCAATACGGCTAAATGACTTTCCACTTCGTTTACTCGATTACCAAGTACTCTGGAACCATAGTATAGTAGATGTGGAAGGTTTTTGAAGAAAAATTTCCATCAGCTGTTCAAAAATAACAACGGCTTACTTGTTCGTCCTTCGAAGATGTGTCAAAGCCATTTGTTTATCATTGCACAAGTCGAGCAAAATAGCAGTGATCGCTTTGTAGTCGTTTTCATCGAGTTCAATGGCATGCGATGAAAGCAGCTCGCGTACTAAAAATGTTTTCATAACATGATCTTCTATGTTCTAGTAGGTAAGTAGTTATTTTCCATATTGGATATGAAGAAATAATTTTAAGCCGAAATAAACTAATAGAATTGAGGCATTTTCCGAACTTTTGTTACGAAAACTAAAGTGTGCTGGATATCGGTTTGCCCAGAACACAAGTACGGGTCATTGCATCCTGCTCACTTTTTGAAGTGGTTCAGCACCATGAGGAACGAGGAAAACATTGTTAAGATAAAAAGATATGAGTGAGCTCATCTCAAATAGTTTTGGAAATTGGGACATACCGTAAATGCGAACCGCCCAACGGTTTACCGCCTCATCGTGGCTGGGAGGTGTTCCTGGGCGTCGGGCTGCGATATACAGCGGGGATTCATCACCCTGGTAGGGTCTCCTAAGTTGAGAAGGAGTCCGGCGTTTCCATCAAGAAGCCTAGCTAAGAGTAAATCAATGCCAGGATTCACCACTGTCCTGGTATCAAACCAGTCGTATGGTGGCAAATCTCGCTCTGATAAGGCCAGACTGACCTCGGGACTCCAAGGAAACGCAATGGCTAAACCAGCAAAACTCCGAAAAATGGAGATTATACTGGGATCCGCACAAGCAGTGAGGACGGGCAGTTTAAGTATCAAGTAAGTAAGTAAGTAAATGCTAAAATGATAGAAAGCGTTGAAGGTAAGCAATTTCTTCCTAGGGACACCATGTAGAAAGACGGAAAAAGTGGTTTGGCCCAATTTTTAGACAAGAGGAGAAAAATGAACGAAATGAAGAGGAGGAATGACGATACCACCGATCTTAAAATTAATGTTGCCGTGTACTTTGGTTGCACAGGTTTTACAATAGGAAATTAATGCTCAACGGATATCGTATCTCAATGTACATCGTGAAGAATACTTCTAGAATCTATCGAACAATGTGGTAGACTTCTAAAAAGGTATCTGCCGGTTTAATAATTAAGGTAGACTGTTACGAAGGAAATTAAACGAAGTGGGTAAACAATGAATGATAAATGCAACAAAATCGAGGTAACGCAAAAGGGAAACATTGCTGCATTGGTGTGAACCTAAGCATTAACGGGGCTGAAGAAATTGCGTACACGAGTGGATTTAACCCATAACTGAGTGTTTACATGTTGCAGTGAGAATTTTCAGTTCGATCGATTCCAGAAATTTTTTTTTACCACACGGCAAGCAAAACTAGGCGTCGTCGTCAACGTCTTGATGGAACTTCACTAAGTTTCCAATAAAAATCGTCGCGACGGTAGAGAAGTGCGGAAAGATATGTGATAGAAATACGCCAGAAGTTTGTGCGGTGCATAAATTGCAGTGTGGCCTACATGAAGTTTCACTGACTCACGTCAGTCAAGAAAATCCTAAAAATTTGCTAGCACGTCCACGCACACTTTTCGCAGAACCAGAAGTGGTGGGCTCGTTCGCGATTTAAACAAGCTAATGTTGATTGTTTCGACAACAAAGAATAAATTTTTCACAGAAAAAGACTTATGGCTTTAGAAATACCACAAAGTTATAAAAAAAACTTTACTCTATTCATCTCGAGGTACAACACTACTACGACATGCCGCCTATTACCACTTTTCACCTACGAAGCACATGGTAGTCAGAGGTTGGAAGAATCTCGCCATTTATATTGAATATATTGCGCTATTTCTTATGATTGCCTATCTCATATGATAGTCACAACTCATCATTGTAGTCGGAAATAAAACACTGTGAATTACTGGTTCCTCCCAACGGTTTACCGCCTCATCGTGGCTGGGAGTTGTTCCTGGGTGTCGGACTGCTATGTACAGCGGGAGATTCGTTCTCACGGCAGGGTCTTCCAAGCTGAGAAGGAGTCCGACGTTTCCATCAGGAAGCCTAGCTAAGAGTAAACCAATACCAGCATCCACCACCGTCTTGGTATCAAAGTCGTATGGTGAAAATCTCCCTCTGATCCACAAGGGCTGTGTCTGCCTGTCGTGGTGACCACCTGGTACAGACTTTGGCCAGACTCTCCTCGGGATTCCAGAGGACCACAATGGCTTAACTAGCAAATCCCTGAAAAATGGTGTTTATGCTGGGGCCCGCACAAACAGTGAGGACGGGTCGTTCAAATATCAAGTAAGTAAGAATTACTGGTTATTCTACTTTTTGCTAACTAGAAGACGTATGAAGTTATTAACCTGGCATACGCCTAAAGGAGAATTTTCTATATTATCCCAAGGAGAACCAGTGCAATTTCGTGCCCAAGGTGTAATTTTCATTCTATGTTTAGCTTCAATTTTAAAAACAGACCAGCTTTTGTCTTGATAGAATAAAAATTGTATTGTGCTGGATAGATACTAACGGTGTTTGTTTCAATTGACAAATGTATCTTATTTCAATGATAAACTAAAACAAGATTTTTAACAATCATTTATTCAGATAACATTTCGACACATTCGTCTTTCTCAGAGCCGATGATTCGAATCGATGGTCCTCAGTCGTTCGTCTTCGCGGTGTGATGTCTTCGTCATCGTATCAAATTGAAGAAGATTCGAGAAGATCAACGGCTGTGAACCATCGACTCCAATCATCGGCTTTGAAGAAGACGATGACGTCGAAACGTTGGCCGAATAAATGTTTAATAAGAACGTCGTGTTTGCTTACTAATGAAATAAGGCATATTGAACACTTATGCCAAGGTTAAATGAAAGACGGTTTACAATAGTATCACTTCAATGGACAAAGTTCATTATGAGCTGACAAATGCTCGCCGAGAAATGTAACTTCCTATCTACCTTCGGGTTCGTAGAATTTGGAAGTAAAAGCCGGTATATAGATTCACAATCCGTCCAGTTTACAGCAAAGAGATTATATTTATTGCTCTATAACTACGGAGAGGAAATGTAGAAAGGATCTAATGTTTTTCTTCAATAAGCAGACACGAGGTTGTTAATATAGAACTTATTAGAATACAATAGCTGACGTTTCTCGGCGGTTTCGCCTTCTTCAGAGCGTGGAAAGGTTAAATTTAGATGTAATCTACACAGCCAAACACTTTCATAACCCTACCAGATAAAACTTGACGAACCGATTTGCATTCGCATAAGAAACAGCTTCATTCAAACACCTACCGTTTATTCGTTGTAAGTATTTAAGTTAGTTGATGGATAGCCGCCGCACAGAGTAATACATGGGCGATTACTGTGCCTGTGTCAGGTCATTGGATTAGCCTGAGGTATGGCGCCAGGTCACGCGTGATGTCGACATCCTCCTTGCGGTTCATTTTTGAATTTTTGGCATTGATCCAAAACGCTTCAAGAGTTTTACGCGCTGATGTTTTTGATTCCTGCGTGAGGATAGTGACTCCTACCTCAAAATCTTCTCCGTTGTGTTCCTGCATCCTATGCGCGCCTAGTGGAGTATTTTGTTTTAATTTAGATTTACCGGCTAGGTGTTCTTTTATGCGGACGCAGAGCGGTCTACCCGTTTCGCCAACATATTCGTGCCCGCACGCTTTACAAGAGATCAGATAGACTGTACCCGAACTCATGCAATCACCGTCTCTACCATTTGGGCAAATTATGCAGTTTTTTGTTGTACATAGACGGTCGTATAGGCGGTTGCGAACTAGCTGGCGTCTTAGAGTGTTCGGTGGCATTTCTATCACTGTCACGGAATTCTCTAAACCGGCCCTTATTAAGCAGCGTTTTATAGCTGCGCTTATTTCGTTTGAAATAAGGGGCAACAGGAACGGAGCCTTGTTTTCGCTAGAATTACCGCTCTGGGGCGTGGAATTTCCTTGTTGCCTATGCCGAGAAGCTACAATTTCGTAACCATTTGAAATGGCTATTTGCCGGGCCAGTTTCGAGGATTCTTCCCTCTGCTCTCTACCGGTGCNAATACATGGGCGATTACTGTGCCTGTGTCAGGTCATTGGATTAGCCTGAGGTATGGCGCCAGGTCACGCGTGATGTCGACATCCTCCTTGCGGTTCATTTTTGAATTTTTGGCATTGATCCAAAACGCTTCAAGAGTTTTACGCGCTGATGTTTTTGATTCCTGCGTGAGGATAGTGACTCCTACCTCAAAATCTTCTCCGTTGTGTTCCTGCATCCTATGCGCGCCTAGTGGAGTATTTTGTTTTAATTTAGATTTACCGGCTAGGTGTTCTTTTATGCGGACGCAGAGCGGTCTACCCGTTTCGCCAACATATTCGTGCCCGCACGCTTTACAAGAGATCAGATAGACTGTACCCGAACTCATGCAATCACCGTCTCTACCATTTGGGCAAATTATGCAGTTTTTTGTTGTACATAGACGGTCGTATAGGCGGTTGCGAACTAGCTGGCGTCTTAGAGTGTTCGGTGGTATTTCTATCACTGTTACGGAATTCTCTAAACCAGCCCTTATTAAGCAGCGTTTTATAGCTACACTTATTCCGTTTGAAATAAAGGACAACAGGAACGGAGCACTGTTTTCGCTAGAATTATCGCTCTGGGGCGTGGGATTTCCTCGATGCCTATGCCGAGAATCTACAGTTTCGTAACCATTTGAAATGGCTATTTGCCGCGCCAGTTTCGAGGATTCTTCCCTCTGCTCTCTACCTGTGCACACGCTGGCGGCGGTTCGAAACATACTTCTTATAAGCGCCCTTTTTGTGTGTGAGGGGTGAGTGGAGCGGTAATGAACCACTAAATTCTTACTAAAACAAAATACTCCACTAGGCGCGCATAGGATGCAGGAACACAACGGAGAAGATTTTGAGGTAGGAGTCCCTATCCTCACGCACGAATCGAAAACATCAGCACGTAAAACTCTTGAAGCGTTTTGGATCAAAGCAAAAAATTCAAAAATGAACCGCAAGGAGGAGCGTCTTGTCATCACGCGTGACCTGGCGCCATACCTCAGGCTAGTCCAATGACCTAACACAGACACAGTTATCGCCCATGTATTACTCTGTGCGGCGGCTATCCATTAATTAACTTAAATACTTACAACAAATAAACGGTAGGTGTTTGAATGAAGCTGTTTCTTATGCAAATGCAAATCGACTTGTCAAGTTTTATCTGCTAGGGTTACGAAAGTGTTTAGCTGAGTAGATGGCATCTCAATTTAACCTTTCCAGGCTCTGAAGAAGGCGAAACCGCCGAAACGTCAGCTATTGTATTCTAATAAGTTCTATACTAACAACCTCGTGTCTACTTATTGATAAAAAACATTGAATTAACAATTAATGCCGAGGCTAACAGAAAGTCGGTCTTGGGAATAGAAAGGATCTGCCGAAACCGTATTTAAGGTGCCCGATTTTTTGTGATCTTGTCGTTATTCTTTATCTCCTCCTTCGAGCTCTTCTGCTTCCTCACGTTCTTTCCCACCCAGCCCTCTTATTACACCGGCTAATAACGCTCTCAAATCCGACCTCAGCCGACTTATCATCAAGAACGACAATGAAAAAGACGATGATGATGAGAAGGATATCTTGATGTGTCCTGTTTCACGTCGGTGATACTGAAGAAGGCGAATACAAAGGAGAAGACAAACCCGTTGATGGTGCCAGTGGTGAGCGCCAAGGTGATGAAATGATACATAACTTCTTTCTCTTCCATAAAAGCCAGTCGTTGTATAAATGGGCGGTTATTAAATCAGTACCCAGACGAACTTTATCAATGAAAAATGCAGCAGAGTATGCATTCCTGGAAAGTTCGTAGGTATTAACGAATCTCTCGTGCCGTTCAGAAGCGAAATCTCCTTCCGCTAATATTTCAAACAAGAGAGACACAAGTAGCTGCCTAAGTTGTTGAAACTGTGCACAAGGTGACTTCACCTGCAGAGTTTTGATGTGTACTGGCAGCAATTCCTCAATGACCGAAAATTTGGCGTATGTTGTAATTACGAGGTCTGTCCCTACGATTTGCTAAATGGCGGAAGTCATCTATATACTACTAGACTGTACACGAATCCTACTTTGGCTAATGAATTTTAGACGACAAGATACCATCTCTTACCTTTGGGAAAAATAGGGAAAACTTCTCAAGCAAGTCAGCCATTAGAAGCTGAGTAGTGAACAGTTGGCAGTACAAGAGATTCGGAGCAGTACGACCAGTTCCTCTATGTCATCAAGCAGGAGCCGTTTGAAAGTAATAACCAGAGAAAACCATTCGTGGACACAAATTATCGGATGACGGTCTACTGCGTCATACAATCTGTACTTCACCGGTACTACCTTCCATCTATGCGAAGAATTTTTGTTGCAGGCAAGAATTCCATGTTGTTATTGTCATATTCTGTCGCATTCACATTATTGCTACTGTTGCCCATTATCATTGCTGAGTATATATATATATATATATATATATATATATGCATATACATATATATACATATATATCTATCGTGTATGCAAATTGTAAATCGCAAGCTGCAGAACAACAAAATGATTAGAATTGATGACGGTTTCGAAAAACACACTGTGTAGAATGCCCTTAATGGCGCACATTCTGTTAATAACAAAACACTCTGAAAAAGTCTGCCCGATGATCTTATCACTATCTTATCATGACGAAAAGTCGTACCTTAGTGCCGAGTACCAATGCTCAGCTAGAGGCATTTCTGTACCTCCTCACCGGTCGTGCTGTATATGCTGTACACCCTCCTCAACACCAATAGTCTCTAGCGACAAACACACTAGCCCAAAAAGAGATTTGTAGTAAACTGTCAAATGTTGAGAACAGCTTGTAACACCCATACTTGGCATTGGTTAAAAGGTGCGGTGAAAAAAAATCGGTGAACGGCTGAGATGTGCACTCTCTTCAGTACATGCGGTCCGGTATGTACCAATAACACTTCACCTGTTGAATATCTCAGAGGACGTAAATTAGAGAAAAACTTACTTTGCTTCATATTTACAACAGCTACGCAGTTTTTTTCGTCTAAGGATGTCTCACCATTGGCAGCTAGATTCACCTATAATAATAGTTCGAAAGAAGAATAATAAAAGATGGCGCAATGTTAACTTTTTTATTTAGTGCGTACTACAGTTTCTCACCGCAGAGTATTATTTGAAGTACAGCCATAATAATGCTGAGATATTTTCAAAACTCCGGACCGCAGGTATATGAGGTGGGGATCGAACACGATATTACTCTTTCAGGGGGTTAACGAGTTCACCACCACACCATTCGAATCCTTCGTTTCACATCCCTCATAATAGATAAAGTTTCATTTTCAAGTTCTCACCCTAATATCGTAGATGACCAAAGCAATAATAAATCATTTTAGTATAAGAAGTATGCTACGAACAAATGCAAGTCTTTGCCGAGCCCGTTGACCAGTTTTGAAGCCTAACTACATTCGTATGAAGTGCTGAGATATTTGCAAAACTCCGGACCACAGGTGTATGCAGTGGGGAACGAACACGCGCTGTTGTCCTTACCTGGGAGCAGCGCACTTCACCACTACACCATCCGACCCGGAAGTGCGCTGCTCCCCGGTAAGCACAACAGCGCGTGTTCGTTCCCCACTTCACCACTACACCATCCGACCCGGAAGTGCGCTGCTCCCCGGTAAGCACAACAGCGCGTGTTCGTTCCCCACTTCACCACTACACCATCCGACCCGGAAGTGCGCTGCTCCCCGGTAAGGACAACAGCGCGTGTTCGTTCCCCATTGCATACACCTGTGGTCCGGAGTTTTGCAAATATCTCAGCACTTCATACGAGTTATATTTCACAACATACCCTGCCATTAAGAAGAAAAAGGCAGTAAATAAAAGAGTTAAGATTGTGATCCTAACTACATTGTTATTTCAAATATTCGTATTCTCTTTTTTGTTGAACAAAATCAGTGCATTGGTGGCTATAAAATTATGGAAGCGTAATATTTAGCAATGAATCTTTGTCGTCTCGTCGTTTTTTTTTGGAAGAGGACATGTAAAAACTTACGGCAGAAGGCCTGGATTCGGTCATGGCTCTGTACTTCGATAATGTAGCTCTCATTGTTTCACTTTCTTCATTCGCTGAGTCCAGCCGGGCTTTGAGAAAGCGATTCTCCGCCAATAAACTATCCAGGTCTTCAACTACCTTGAATGCCTAGTTAAACAAGAAAATTGAAATTTCACCTTGTCCTTATTCTTGATAGGATTGTACTTATAGGCAAACAAAAATAGGCGTTACTAACTCGTCGGGGGTCACCGTTCAGTAGAAAAGAGATTTCAGTACTGAGGCGTTCGACCTTCTTCACTAGAGCATCGCGTTCCTTAACAAGTTCTTCTTTTATCCCGAGTACTGTGTGAAGATCCGCTTCGATCTGTTTATACTGAAAGTAAGCTGCACTGGTTACCACAACCAATGTCAAATTTGAATCAGGTATAAGTGAACGTAATACTTCTTTGTTCGTTGTTTTTCAAAGATTTAGTAGAAATAATCAACGTAATTTAAAGTCAGGTGCTGTATTGTGACATATCTAGACCACAGAAAGTAAAGAACGAAGATAACCACGCAAAAATTGCAAGCCAAAGTACTCAAATTTGGCGTAGTAAAGCGGATAACAACGAAGTTTGCACTTGTCCTTGCAGTGTGCAAGAACACCTTGCTAAGAATAGATTCTCCTCGCCCAGGAAAAAAGAACAGCATCATACTTCAGGATATTCCTGAAGAGACCATTTGTGTTTCTAGTGTGCGTTTCACATCCCGTGGAACTCAGTAGCTAAGGTTTGCGTCCATCAGTCTTAGTTAAGATGCACAATTCTCTCTAGGAACCTGATTTTCGAAGTCTTGAGACATACGACAACTTCTCTGATCTTTGATCGTTGATGTATGTTAGAACTTCGTGATCTTCCTTTCACTTCTGCTTTATGGGATTTTGCTTCTTCTAGCCTCCCTGTTGCACTCCTGAGATCATTTAAATGATCGTCCTTACGTAGCGTACAGCTTCCTTTGGCTCACTTTGATGTGGAAAGAATCTTCGGGACCAAAGCTAACAAGCGGAGCTTCCTCTTCTTAATAAGTCCTTGGTGTCTTTAAGCTGAAGGCTGCTCTTTTCTTCTAAGCCACCCTCTCTGTCATGTTAATTTCTCAATCGAAATTCAAATAGCTCAAGCAATCGGAGCATTGACATCGAACTGCGCTCTCAGATATTCCACTGAAGCCTTTGGAAGAAGTTTTCGAGGGCGGCTGTCAGTAATATTGGTAAGATATTGTCGCCTCCTGTAATCTCTCCGTTTGCAACGATGTTAACATCATTATAAATGCTGTTGTAACAACTTTACGTTTGCTCATGAAGTAAAACTGTGAGTTATTGATCAATGCCGCGGTTAGAAGAAACTTGGTCCTGGGATTTGCGACGTGAAGTATAAGCTGAACATTTCCCAGTTGTCAAAGAAGTTTTGTGGCTAAGATACTTGCTTTTTCTGCATCATTGCTTATACGGAGCTTTATAACCAATTTTTGTCCTATTTAAATCAAAGTATTTTTGTAAGGCACGAAAAATAAGAAAAAGCGGTCTCTGTTCCTCGCGATACTTTGGTGTGTTTCATTATCGCGTGGAGATGTTCAATCGTCATGAATTGTTACCGAAATCCTCCATGCTGGAATAGCTCTCCTTCATCTACTGTCCTGCGAATCTACTTGAAAATGCTAGCGGTCCCACTAGTTTTGCATTAGTTTGGAACCTTACATCATTCTAAAGACTAACGTAGCAAAAGTACAGCAAATGCATTGACGAGGAGTGACGATAGGTTTCTCAGCTGTTCTAATCAGTTCAAACTTCGTGTTGCACTCTTCTGTACCTTCGACAATGTGCCGGACTTCAGAATCTCTGGGACGACATATACATTTTTCTGTCCTGATACTGGGATCGGTCGATGTGGCTACCGAAGTGTTCAGAGTAAAAAAAGATCGTTATCCATACAGTCATCTTTTTACATGCATGCAAAGACTATTCCATCTGAGTATTGGAAAGTAATCGTCCTTAAATTATTCCACTAAAGTCGTAGGCAATGCAAGGATTTCGAATGATGCTCCCAACTTCTACAAACTAGAACAATAGTTATATCCGACCTCTCAACGGTCTACCGCCTCATTATGAGCAGAGAGGGGTGTGTTCGCGGGAGTAGAGATGCAATTTACAGCGGAGGTATTCATACCCCCAATAAGGCCTCCTAAGTCCAGAAGTCCGACGTTTCTATCTAGAAGCCTAGCTAAGAGTAAGCCAATACCAGGATCCACCACCATCCTGGTACCAAACTAGTCGCGTGGTGGCAAATCCCCACGTGATCCACAAGGGCGGCGACTGCCTGAGGAGATGACGACCTGATGCAGACTTTGGTCTGGCTGACCTCGGGACTCAAGGGAGCCACAATGGCTAAACCAGCAAAACTCCGAAAAAATCGAAATCATTCTGAGGCCAACAGAACCAGTGAAGAACCATCCAAGCATCCAAGTATCCAAGTAACTATACTCATTTTGTAATAGTTCCCAGGATCGACTTTCTCTTAACCTCGGCATTGGAATATGAATGTGTCGTTTTCTTGCTCAGCAATCGC